GGGCCACACTATCCCTGACACAAGCCAGGATGCCATTGGCCTTCTTGGCCATCTGGGCACACTGCTGGCTCAGGTTCAGCCAGCGTTTGACCAACACCCCCAGGTCCTTTTCTGCCGGGCAGCTTTCCAGCCACTCTTCCCCAAGCCTGTAGCGTTGCATGGGGTTGTTGTGACCGAAGTGCAGGACCCGGCTCTTGGCCTTGTTGAACCTCATACAGTTGGCCTTGGCCCATCAATCCACTCTGTCCAGACCCCTCTGCAGAGCCTTCCTACCCTCAAGCACATTGACACTCCCACCAAGCTTGGTGTCATCTGCAAACTTACTGAGGGAGCACTCAATTCCCTCATCCAGATCATTGATAAAGATGTTAAACAAGACTGGACCCAAATCTGAACCCTGGGGAACAGAACACCAAACTTCAGGCTTACAAGGATGAAGTCATCTGAAAGGAAAATAGGCCACAGACATAAAGGGGCAGACATCTGTTAGCTTTTCTGGGCCCTTCTGACATGAACTGACCTACAGATCATGTGTCTAAAGCTGTCTTGTACAAGCCAACAGCTGGTGACTGGGAGACGCATTCAGATGGGCGGATGATGCCCCAAAGCAAGCTGTGAGCTCTGCCCATCCTCCTGCTCCACGACAGGGCCTCTGTCCACAAAAAGGATTTGCTCCAACTCCTTTGTCTGGCCAGGGAAGGAACCACTCACCCAGAGCAGACAGAGGCAAGTCCAGGATCCTAATATCAAAATTACAGCTACATTTAACTGCAACAAAGCTCGTTCCCAAGCCTGTTTGCAGTCAGTTCAGAGGACGTTCAGCAACGGGGCAAGCATCAGAGACTACTGCCAAAGGCAGGCAAGGCGCGTGGCCACAGCTTGAATTTGGTGTTTCCTGATGGCACGTGACAAACCAACTGCCCGAGCCTATCTCGTGCAGATGCATGTTCGGTCACTGTCACTCGCAGGACCAGTGCTGATGAGAAACCCCTGGTCCTGCTCCCCTGAGCTGCCCAGGCACCCAGCACACCCACCTGTCAGTCACCACACCACCCGCAGCCGGGGTTCCCCAGGGCAGGTCCCAACATGCCTCCCCACCTTCCTTCCTCCGCACACCGGCCCGGGCAGCGAGCCTCCCTCCAGCCGCCTCCATCAGCTCTGTAGCCAACCTCACCCCATCTTACCTGCACGAATCGTGACCAAAAGCTCTACTGAAAGCTAAGTGACAACCGAGTTCCTCAGCAAGTTTCAAGATAAGCTTTATTTGTTTTCAAGGAGACAAAAAAGCCCAGGACAGAGCGTTTACATTCAATCCATCTCCTACGTAAGTTTAAATATTTGCGTTGCACACATCTCCACAGCCAAGCGTCTCCTCTCGGCTGACACTGCACTCAAACATCAGACTGTGCATGGTCACGGCAGTTACAAACCAAGCACTAAGGTCAATGGAGCCCGCTCTCCAGCTCACAGCCTCTTGGGCTGCCATGGGCTGAGCACGGTGACATCTCTTACTCACTTCAGATGAGCAAAGCACCGTCCTTTCCAAGATGCTTTAGAACACATTTTGACTACCTGAACATCTTCCAAATGAAAGGACTTCTAAAAGCAATGCCCCTGTCTTTTCACCTGGATTGGCAAAATGACAGGCCGTGTTTAGGTTCATGAGCATTCACTTAAGGCCTGCGCGTTCCATCATCTTTGCTCTACTCAGTGACACTGCCACGGGACACAACTTGAGCTGCTTTGGGTCCAGCCAGCATCGGCTTCACCTGTGCAGAGGCTCATGAGTACAGGTGATCTCGCCACACTCTGTGTCAGAGGGGGTACGCTCCTCTACACAGGCGTTTTCACAAAGGTGCTCTCCGGCTCCTCTTCCGGAAGCTCTGCGGAAATCCGTCTTTGGGAAGTTGCTTTCTCCGAGTGCATTTTCCCTGGTAAGTACCTGCCAGTCTGAGGCAAAGCTTTTAGCCTCTCTGCCTTCTGGTGATTGGTTTTCACAAATCTCAGCAGGTTAACAATAGCAGCTGGTGTAATTCCAGGGATGCGGCTGACTGCACCAATCTGGGCATGGAAACGGGAACAAGTTAACCAAGCACGAACCTACACACTGGAGCTAGTGAGAAATGAGATCTAAACCTGTCGGTATTCCTTCCCCCGATTCCCCTCACCCCTCACGTGCCTTGGGAAGACACAGGAGGGATATCACGGCTGCCCAGCCTTGCTGTGGCCCAGTATCTTACCGTCTGGGGACGGTTAGAGTCCAGTTTCTCCCGCACCTCTGCTGAGAGCGACGCATCAATGGCAAAGTAATCTAGGTCCTCCGGCAGTCGGAGGGCTTCATCACGACGCACCTCTTCTACTTCCTGCTGTTGATTGACTACACACCACTCGTAAGCAGCTGTGATGGAAGATCAGGGAAACAAGCAGAACACAGACAGATGTTCATGTGAAACAGGTCACTCGCAGGAATTCTTGGAAGCAGAAACGAGCGATTCCACTGAGACGGTCAGAAGCTCCTAAGGAGGTTTCCAGCCTCACGGACTAAAGGCAGGTGTAATTCACATCACTACTTTGGAAGCAGACATTCTCTTTCATTTGTTACAGGAATTAAGATACACGGGTTGGCTTTTCCTCTCATCCCAGGAAAGGATGGTCTATCTGACAGAGCAGTAAGGAGGAAAAACCCAGGTGTGCACACTAACAACTGATCTCACCCCACAAAGTGAAACACAAGTGCTTGAACAGGGCCGTGGTCTCTGGTAGAAGGTGAAAGCTGTGATAACAGTGCTTCACTTCACTAAACGGCAACACGAAGCATAGCGAGATGAATGGGTTGGCTCTCTCCTCACTCATCACCACCTACGCAGATCCCACTAAGAGACTGTACCTCTTGTACTTTACCTTCTATTTTCAGTCTCTCCGCCAGTTGTCTCCATTGAGCAAGCTTTCCCAGGGGCTCTGGGACAGCCCTCGCCAGAACCTCCATGTTGACCTCTGGGTACTGAAGGATGTCGAAGGCACTGTGGAGAACAAGAGTAGGTTTTTAAGGTAGGAAGGAGTCACCTACATAAGGCAGATTTGCAGCTGTTCCCAGCTCAAACTCAAGGCAGAACAACTGCAGAGCCAAGCTCACCTCCCTACTATCTCCTCTCAGCGTACACAAGAGCAGTTCAGCTCTTGAAGAGGGACTCTTTATGAAAAACGAACGGCCAGCTAGAAGGGATAGAAGTAAGGGCATCAAGGGGAACCTTTCACACAGACTGAGCCAGCCAGGTCTTTGTCACTGATTTAAAACAACAGAAAAGATAGGGTGAGATAGACAAAGGATGGGTAAGGAAAGCAAGGGCCTTTGTGTACAAGAACAGCTACCATCTGATACTAGCCTGAAATTAACTGCTGCTTTATGAAGCCTTCAGCAAAGCAGCAGGCCACTGCAAAACCGTCACCACTCGGCGACCGTCTCAGTAAGGACAGCAAGAACTGACGGGGCCCGTGGAGGAGCACCCCCTTGCTTTGGGAGCCTACGTCAACACCAGGAAAGGCGGCACAGCAAAACCACCGACGTCACGCTTATTCTACAGGCAAACGTCAGATATCCGTCCTCTGAAGGTGATACAGCTGGAATCTCAGAGTACCAACGGCTTCAGGATGGGCAGGCAAATGCTGTTAAACTGGCAGCCAGATGTCCTAAAGCAAGCACAGGTCAGACCAGAACGCTTCAGCTGTAACCTTTACCTGGCAGGCGACCTTCGACTGCTACTGATGGGAACTCCTGGTATTAACCGGGACCATTTGGATATGCTGAATTGAAGGGATTTTAGCGTTGCAATTCCATCCTCCAGAGCAGCCTTCATCTTCACTGCTTGTTCGTATCGCTGCTGCGACACACACCCGGCTTCTTCAAAACCTGCAGAGACAGGCGGCATGTGAGACCAAGGTCTACGGCCAGGCAGGGCTGCTCACCCCAGGAGCCACCCAGCCACACACCTCTGTGGGTGAGCCTGGCATCGGCATTGTCGGGCCGGAGGGACATGCGGAACTCCACGCGGCTGGTGAACATCCGGTACGGCTCGCTGGTGCCCAGCGTGGTAAGGTCGTCGATCAGGACGCCAACGTAGCCTTCGGTGCGACTCACAACGAAAGGGGGCTTGCCGTGAACCCGCAGGCAAGCATTGATCCCAGCAATCACACCCTAGGCAGAGAGAAAACAAAACAGAAAACATTTATTGGTCTCTTCGTGGCTAAAGTATCAGCACATCTGCCTCCAAAGCCTCCGGTGTCAAACCAAACCCTGGCAAACGCAATCGTCTGTGCCAGTAATGGAGGCAGTTTCTTTTTTGTGATACGACGGCTGTCTGCAGGGCTTCTCAGCCTCCGCTAACATGACCAGAGACAATTCCCACATGTTTTCAACTATACCCATTGCGCAGTCTCCATGCTGAAACATCTGACTGCGCTTCCGACTACTTTTGTTACAGCAATCTCAGTAACAGCAGCTGTAGATACCGAAAGTAAAAATATCCGGGCAAGACTGGAACCAGGGTGAGCAGCAAAAGAACTTCTCATCAGCACAAGATGGGCCCAGCAAGGCTGAGCATCAAAGACAAACGCCACGGCAATCTCGCCTTCCGAGCGCTGAGTACACACCATCAGCTTCACCCACCTGAGCTGCAGCTTCCTCGTAGCCTGTAGTGCCGTTTATCTGGCCTGCAAAGAAGAGGCGCTGGACGAGCCGGGACTCGAGAGAAGCGGTCAGCTGACGGGGATCTAAATAATCATACTGCACCCCGTAGCCTACGACAAACAACAAGACAGATCTTACAGCAGGGATTCTGAAGGTCCCTATTTATCGGCAAAGGCAAGCAGTGGGGCAGAATGACGCGAGTTATCAACTTCTACTTACGATTTAAAAACAAACAAGGAAAAATCCCTGTATCCAAGAATTAATTTTGTTTCATATTTCCTTTGTTTTGCTATGCTCCAAACAAAATCTGGTTTTCATGGACTGGTAAGCAGTATGACAAATAAGATTTAAAACTACTCAGCCTCCTCACCTGGCTGTACGATCTTGGCTTTTTCCAAGCCGGGGATGGATTTGACCACCTGCTCCTGGAGCTCAGGTGGCAGCGTCATGGACATGCCTTGGGGGTAAATGACATCGGACTCCAAGCCTTCGGGCTCCAGCCACACCTGATGCTCTCGGTTTGGGAAGCGCAGGACCTTTGATTCAAGAGAGGGGCAGTACCTGCAGCAGTAAAATAGCCATGAGCACCACCTGACACGGAGAAAAAGAAACTTTGCAGAAGCAAAGCAGGGGAGAGCCACGCTTTCAGACAGGTTGTCAGCTCATGCCACAGAGAGCCTTGCAGGACGCCACGCACTCACCGCGGGCCCCTTGTTGTCTCCCTTATGTGGTTGTTCAGGTGGAGGTTATCACAGATAATCTGCTGGGCTTTCGGGGTAGTGCGCGTCAGGTAACATGACAGCTGATCTTCCGGCTGAAAGAGGCCAAAGCTCACTGAGTTAATCCAGTCACAACACTGTACTCTTACCGATCAGCTGCCCGAGGATCTCCCAGGGCTTTTCCGGGACAGTTGGCTCTCGCTTCCCGGAGAAATGGGTAGTGCTGTCACACCCACTGCACAGACAGAACACCAGCAGTCAAAGAGCCTGAGCAACATGCCCAAAAGCAGACCAAGAACAGCAGAGACCCTGGGGGTCCAGACTTAGGTTCTGTTCCATACACCGTATTCCTAATCACAGGACAGACATTCCTATTAAAGCAACACATTGTATCACAGCATTCAAATAAACCACAGGAAGCCAAAGCTCCGAGGTAAGAGGAGTAAGTGCTGACCCTAGAGCTAACAGCCAATTAAAGAGTTCGGTGAAGAAAAAAAGAAATCTCAAAACCCTGCAATTAACACAGAAAATTCAAGGTTTGTAAAAAAAACACCATGTGAAGTATTTCACTGTTTTTTTTTCTGAAAAAGAGTCAGTAGACTCACATTCAAAACAGTAATAACGTTGCACCTCAACTCCTTAACACCTTTCCTACACATACCAAGGACTTCAAGGGATATCACTTTCACCCCCACCCCAATTATAATAGGTTATTGTAATTCCTATATGCTCTGGGGCAAATTAACTCCCGGCGCTTAATGCTGTGCTGTTTAACTACGTTATGTAAGAATGCCATCGACTTTCCAAGATCTTCTTCAGTTTCTTCCGCTTTTAAGTTACTGTTAAGATGCCACCTCCGAGCTCTGTGCATAACCCCATCCCTTCTCTTTCCTAGTCAACACTGCTAACGATCTCCAATTTCAACACTTTAATCTTATTCTAGAGCTGGGGTAACGAGCAAGACATCATAAATCCCCACACCACAGGTCTATTACCGAAGCGTTTTGTACACCGCCCATGTAAGCAGCACATGAAGAATACTACCAACAACAATACCGCCCGCAGTTCTGACTCTAAAGATGGTTCTCAAGTTGAGAACTGAGAGGAAGAAGGTACTTCTTTCAAAGGAAAACAAGCAATTTCTCCTTTGGCACTGAGAGTCCTCAGAAACATGACGCCTCCAGCGCGAACACAGCCCAGCTCCCTTTCCCAGCCACCAACTCCCTGGCCGATTGCAACCACGACATTCCCAGAACCGCTCCCCACCCGGCGCTCCATCCATTTGACCTGCGCTGTCCCACCTCGATCCACACCGCCTCGCTGAGGAAGCTGAAGGGCACCGGAGGATTGTCAGCTGCCCGTTCCTCCAGACCGCTGAAGTCAATCGTGTCTTTGGCGAGTCGGGGTGGCGTCCCAGTCTTCAGCCTGCCCATGGCAAACCCCAGTTTCTCCAGCGTCTGAGCCAGCCCAATGGCTGGCTGGGCCCCCAGCCGCCCCGCCGGGTGGTTCTCC